CTTCTCCTGGAGCTGCGGATTCAGTGCCATCCTTTGAAATAACTCTTCTCGGAGGAGGGGAAAATCTCTTATTATAGGTCTATTATTTGTTCAGTTTAAAGTCATTAATAAACCATTGTTCTTTTCCATTTTGATTATTTTTTAAATAGAATTATCCAGATAAACTCTAGGTAATTGATGCAATAAAATATTACTGTGAAAATATGTTACAGGTTCAAGGAATACCAGAGGGCTTCAAAGAGTTTATGGAAAAGCGGAAAGAAAAAGGAATGAAATTTTTCCGTGGAATTTTTGAAATCTCTTACAAAGTATAACAAAGTGGTATAACATGTTTAGGTGTTTATGTGCAGATAAAGGTTGTACTTCTCAATGTCATTGTGGGAGGGCTTACATATACTATGGAAACTCATAATATGTTTTAGATTCTAAATTATTTTAAAATCTCTTATTAACCTATTTCTGATTTTTAAAATTTCGATTCCATTTGGAAAAGATGAAATAATCTAAAGTTTGTATATTTTGAAGGTGAATATTTGATAATACTCAATTCATATTGGAACACGGCTTGCCTGTTGTCTGTATGTGTATATCTGATAGAATTTGAACACTTTTCTTTGTAGGCACATGAGGCAACACTGGAAGCCCTAGCCAGTCCAGAGATGAGTGACCGAATACAGCAATTGGAGCGAGAGATCACCAGGTACAAAGATGACTCGAGCAAGGCACAGGCAGAAGTTGATCGTCTCTTGGAAATCCTGAAGGAGGTGGAAAATGAGAAGAATGATAAAGACAAGAAGATAGCTGAATTAGAAAGGTAAGGATAGGAGGCTTAATGGGGGCTCACTAGGCTAGAAGTATTGAAGTAAGATGTCAAAAGTCTGTACTTTGGGGGGGGGCATATTTTTCAGTATGCTCAATTTAGGTTGCTGTTACTCCATTATTTACTTTTTAGTCAGAATCAGTGCAAATTGTTTTTGTTGTAGTCTCTAAGAAGTAATATGGAGTGGGAATAATGGGGAGTTGAGAGACTCCAATATAATTGGTTGGCACATAAAGTGTTCAGTGATTATGAAATTAAAGCTTTCTACTGGTTAATCAAGAAATAGTTACTTGCTTTATATAATGAGCAAAGGAAACCCAAGGTCAAGGAACTAATATTGTATCATTGGTTCAGAACTTATTTGTTGAACTGATGCTCCTTTGGGCTATGAATAGTTAGACTTTTCATGATTTGTATTGTGAAGACACAGACCTATTAAGACATTGATCAAAATTAAAAGAAGGAGCATTAATTTTTATGCCATTTTAGGAGACTTGGATGTGATTTTTATGGAGGTCTAACTTGGAATTTTTCAAACTTGACTTTGTGCAGATTCAACCAGACAGCTTTCAGAAGTTTCTTTGTCTTAAAACTTTTTTTTTTTAAAGATTATTTTAAACTAAAAAGACAGATGCCTCTTTACCTCTCTGGACCCTTTAAACTGCGTATTTTACATAAATTCACATAATTTATTAAAATTAATGAAATTAATTAATTAAAATTGTGAATTTTACATAATTCGCAAAGAAACAGTTCTCCCACTAGAACTTCATTAAACAGAGTTTAAGCACTCACATTCTTCCGATACACAGGGCTGAATGACAGCATGAAGTCACCATTCGATACAGCTCCTGGAGTCTGATCTTGAGGAATCATTGATGCTCATCCTCTGGAAGGTTTAAGAAATGTCCAACAATTCCTTCCATACACTGTCTTGAGTTATACATGCTGAGAGTTACTGGTAGACCTCAGCATTCTCTTTTGGAAGTTATTTCCTTCTGTATCCGCAGAACTTTGATGTTCAAGAAATCAATAAAATCTAACCCTCACAATTATTCTTTACTTGAACAGCATGGGATGAATACCTTCTCACTTATTCTCATTTTGATATCAGTTCTCAACATTTTTGAACATAAGGTACATGGAGCTGTACCTGTAAATTAGAATTAATGAGTTACAGGATCCTCAAATTCCATGTATTGTATTGCCTTCCTCCTTCTTTGTAGTTACCTCTACCTCTGCCCCCATACGCAAGCAACCATGCTTGTATGAATCTATACCTCTGTTGGGTGCGTACCTAAGATTTTCAAATAAGGTCCTTTGATTGCTCATTTGGTATATTTTCAAGATGAAATTTCAAGAGAAGGCTCATCTTTTTAGTTTAATTTTTTTTATATGAGAAATCTACATCTGAAACTATTATTTGCTATTCCAGACAGCTTATATGAAAGCATTCCTGGTTAAGTTTTAGTCATGACACTGATTTTGTGAGATGGACATTATGTGAAGGAGAATAAGAAATAGGACATCTATATTTGATATCCAAAGCACACCAAATAGTGGGTCCTATGGCTGCAATATTTTTCACTTTTTGTAAAAGATTTATAAATAATTTCTTCCCACAAACTATAACTCATAAGATTGAAAAAACACTGCACAATTGGTCCACTGGCCATGGAACGCTGTTATTTTTTCATAGAATGGGCCCAGTTTTTCTTGGCTACTAAAAACAGCAACAGCATAAAAATATTCTCTTAAACTCAATTTTTGCTACCAGCTTTGTAACTTGTTATTGGGTAACATGCTAAGAATGAACAAACAAGAGATTCATAGAAAATCCTAGGATTGTACTTGTGAAAGAAAGCTTGGGGTTCTACTGTGGCATTTTGTGTAAGCAGAACCCAGGAGCCTGAGAAGTTAATGAGCACAGGTAGTAGATGTTTGCTTAGGGCTCATTGGCCACTGTTGTTTGAAGCTTCTCTGCCCGTATGGGATTTATCTTTTGCCCAATGTTGACCCAAGGTCTTCAGTAAAAATGGCCAAAGTTAGGCATGGCTAGCAAGTAAGATTTTAATTTCTCTGATGCCTTTGAATGTCATTTTTATAAGCTGACTTCTGCCTATTCTAGGATATAACCCGTGCTTTTTCGGTCACAGAACAGTGGGGATTATATTCCACCTTTTGTTCCCAGATGTAGTGTTAAGATGCATGTGTCTGGCTGCTGTGTTTCTTACTAACCATGTGCTTCTTGTGTTGCCATTCCACTGTTTGCTTTATGTGGGTGTCCATCTCCCTGTACTTTATCATTTGAATTTGTTCACCTTTCTTTTCATTCGTTTGGTCATGGTCCGATTCCATTGGGGTTTTTGGTCTTTCTCTGTGTGTTTATTTGTGTGTGTCCCCTTTGCCCCGGCCTTGCTGTTTCTCAGAAAGCCAGTCTCCCGCAAATTGTACCCTCCACGCCAGGTTTCTGTCCCTGCACTGTCAGGGGGGTTTATTTGGGACTTCCTGGGAAAGTGAGTGTTAAGTAAGGCTACAGTCTTATGCTGTGAACTGCTGCTGCTGCTGCTCTTGCTACTGCTGGGGCTTGTGGGGACTTTTGCTTGATCAGAATTAAAGAAAAACCAGTAAACTTGGAACCTCATGGGTAAAATCAGTCTGTATTCTCTCTGGTAAGGTTATAATGCAATGGATTATAATTGTGTTAGTCTTTATTTTTAGCCCATCTTTTATGTGACTTCTTTTCCTGGAATATTCTTAAAGTAGCCCCTTAACGGTGCAACTGTAGTGCCACATGTAATTCATTATGCTTAATAAATTAATTTCCAAGTTCAGCAGCCTGCAAAGGACGAAAGTAAAAGGAGAATGTTAAAATTATCGAATTAAAGAAACTTTAGTATTCTTAGCATTACGTAATACTTAGTGAAGAAGTGTAGAAGATATTTTCTTTTTTCAAATGTATAAATATTTTAAGATGTCTTAGCAGTAATTGTGAATTGGATGAAGGTTTCCAGAGTTGATCATTTTTCCATTCAGCAGTTCCTACACATTTTGCTTCATCTCTCTGATTGGGATGCCACAGTAACATTCCTATCCTACATCCTCCCTGTGTTTCCCGTTTCTACTTCTCCTTTTGTCAAGGTACTGAACTTTGTCTTTGGGTAAATGCTGCCGCCCTAGTGTTAATGTTTGCAGAAAGTTTCGAAACACCCCGATAGGTGCTTGTATATGAACAAAGAGAACTTTTCTGTAATATTTCTAGAAATTATGAAGCATACTCTCTAGGATTAAACTTAATGGCTCAATTAAGGTCTTTTGAGCTTTCAGTTTCCTTTAAAAGATTTCTGAAATTTTATGTAACAAAAATAGAAAACCTTTTTTTTCTTTCTCTTTTTGGGTGAATTTTTCTAAAATGTGCTACAAAGGGATATTTCCCAAAGAGTTGAAAACAGATTTTTAAACTAGTGTTCTAGGCAGCATTATTCACAATAGCCACAAGGTACAACTCAAGTGTCCATCAGCTGATGAATAGATTACTGAGATGTGGCATATACTTATAATGGAATGTTATTCAGCCATAAGCAGAAATAAAGTTCTGATACATGCTGTTACATAATTGAACCTTGGAAAACTATGATGCTTGAACTAAGTCAGACAGAAAAAGACAAATATTGTATGATCTCACTTTACATGAAATAATCTAGAATAGGCAAATACATAGAGATAAATGTTGATTAGTGGTTATGGAGGGAAGGAGTGCTGTAGGGAGTTGTTGCTGAAGGAGTATTGAGTTTCTCTTTGAGGTGATGAAGAACTTGAAAATGGGTCGTAGGGACAGTTGCACAACATGGTGAATGTAATTAATGCCATTGAATTGTAAATGTTAATATTTAAAAGGGCCTTTATTTATTTTTGGTTATACGTATTTTTTTTAAACCTAAAATTGAGTCCATGCTGACTCATGGAGACCTACTGTGGGTTTCCTAGACTGTTACTGTTTATGGGATTCAAACGCCCAGTCTTTCTCCTGGAGCCGCTCGTGGTTTTGAACTGCCGACCATGTGGATCACAGCTCAATGAGTAACCACTACACCACCAAGGCTCCTTTCTGAATGTCTTTACCACCATAAAAAATGTGTTCATTAATTTGAATCATAGTTTATAGGCTTTGTGATTTGAATGTTTGGCATGATAGTCTTAGATTTAATAATAGCTGTTTTCCTGAACAATGGAAGTCGTATCAGAAGATGATTTTTTTCTTCTCTCTTTATGGGTATTCTTTTCTTGTTGATTAAAATTCTCTTTCCTCTATTGGTTTGTGAGAATCTGATCTCATGAAAGTGTTTGCTATTCCAAAGTAAACTTTCCGACCTCCCTTCAGCAGGAATGCCCTTTGTTTTTACTGTGCCTTCCCTGTCTCTCTGTGACCCTGCCCTGGGACTGCATGGTGTGAAGGCTCTCTTCCTCTCCCACCCTCCCTTAGATCGTCCTTCTTTAATGTTCTGACCTTCCAGTTATCAAACAGATGGACACTCAGCAGCCACTCACACACTGATTGATTATATGTAAAATGTTTTTATGTTCAGTGTGTGTAAACATTTTAATTTTACTTTTTTAAAGTAATATTAAATTCATGTGCATAACATATTCTTATATAATTGAATGGTATTACATTTAGATATCAGTAAAACAGAAGTATACTTTTTCTCTTTTTGTCGCAATGAATTATTCTATTTTTTTAAAAAACATTTTTATGTCTCTAAAATTGTTATATATGTACCAGTAATGGCATGGCATACTTGAATTGGTGTAATTTTTCTTTGTTAGTGGTACATAAAGCAGTAATTCATTTTTTAAAAAAAATTTTAAATCATTTTATTGGGGGCTTGTACAATTCTTATCACAATCCATACAAAATAGTTCATTTTCTGTGCTTAGCGAATTGATTTGAGGATGCATGTGAGGAGAGTTAATATATTTTATTGAATGTGGGAGAAGAAAGTAGTATTTCAAAATTAACATTTTTAATAGATACTCCATTTTAAATGTGTATCTAACTAAATGTGTATTGATTATTTTAATTAAACATTTGCCTGTTTTAAAAGTTTATGTATTATAGTTTAAATTTTTTAAATTGTTTTCAGTGGAAAAAATGTTGGGCCTGTGTTTGGAATTATTTTATATGTGTGATCAGATTATACTTAGGTATTTGATAGCACAATATATCTTGAAAATGTAATCCTAGTTATTTAATTGGCATATTTGTAAAGTTTTTTTCTAAAAATATTTAATTGATATTCAACTTCAATTTCCCTAAGATCTGCCATGAATAAATTAATATTGAACTGTATAAGAATTGGCATAAACTGCTCTTCATTTTTTGAGGAAAATGGGTTCTTTGAGAATTTTCTTTTAAATGTTTGGCGATCCATTTTGATGGATGCAGTACAGAGAGAATTAGCAGTCAGTATAGTTGCAGGAGAAAGGGGTGGCTGCAGGGGGTGTGTGAGGAATCATAGTGCTTGCACTTGAATAAGAATGAGCTCTGTTTTAAAAAAGAAAAAGCAACAGAAAGATGCCAGAGTTCTAGAACCCAAGATGACTGGTTCTTTAACTGATCCTGCTTGCTTCAGCTGACTTTCTTTCGGGAAACGGCTGGTTTCTTTTGGCTTCCTCCTTGATCAATTTCACTGATTTCGTTTTCAGGGAATAAATTGCACAGCTTTTTATAAGCCAATTCTATTAGATCGTGTTCCCAAAGTTTCTTGTGGGCATAAAACCTTATCATTTGTTACTACAGTTTAATAGGACCTGGTGTTTAGTGGTTACCTACTGGCTACCTTAAATTTTTACTTAAAAGCTGTTGTAAATATTAGAATTCTATACAGTGCTTCCATGTGTAGATCTTTTTCTCCTACATGTATTCCCCAAGTATTATTGTTTGAAGTGAGAGTGAAGCATGGCCCATTGAGCAATAACATCAGTAAAAAGGTAATTAAAGTTGCTCTCTTATTGTCAGGAAGGGGCTTAATATTTTCCATGTATTTATTCATGGCTTTTATAAAACATTGCCTCTGTAGGAGCTTCCTTTCATTGTCATTGTTGCTCTAGAGTTATTGTAACTTCCTTTATCATGACCAAGGAAGATAGAAAAGATCATTGGGGAGAAGAGATTGGTCTCTTTTTGCCTGTGAACACTGCCAGCATTTTGCACTGTTGTACATCTGCTAAATGCCCATGTATGCTACCGAGTCCTAAAAATTGTCATGGACATAAAAAAGTGTACCCAGGTAAGAGGGGAGGTCTTGGCAGATCTGCATTCTTCACCTTGATCTGCCACTTAACTGTGTGTTTGAGAGCAAATGGGGTTCTTTTTCCTCTCTCTCTGATGTAATGATGTAAGTAAGTATCATGTTAAGGCTCATCCTCCATTGTTCTCACAGTAACTACCGTAGATCCTTGTGTATAAGCTCAGTCTTTCTAGCACATTTTTAAATTCAATTTCTGTGGTAAAATTAGGTGCCTCAGCTGATATCTGGGTCAGCTTTTCCTCGAGTAGATACGGTATTAAAAACTCTGGTCTTGAGTACAGAATTAGACCTTTACTAAAATTTAGAAAACATTGGAGTACAAATAGAAACTGTTCTTAATTTCAAGAGACAAACTGTTTGCTTTCTTTATGTAAGATATAGAAAACGAGGACAATCCATATAGCTGTAACCTTTAGAAGTTGGGCTCTTTGGAGGATAATACCCATTTCAGTGAAATTGATTAACTTTTGACAAAAGAAAATGGCCTGTTATTATAAGAGGCAATAATGAACCACAGGGGCTTCACGCTATGTAGGAATATTAAGCATGTTACTTTGCATCTCCTGCTGAGCAACATTGGGAATGAAATTATATTTATAGAGCCATATCTTCTTGTTCATTATTGCTCTTAGATTGCACCATTTGGAATGGATTTTGGTAGGACTTGGAGTGAGCAAAATTGGCTGTGATGAGAAGAAAAAATCAAAGACTGTTCATATTTGAGAAAATGATTTCAAATTCTTCCAAATAAATTCAAGTTCTGTGTTCTATACAGTAACTGAAACAAACACTTTTTCTACTTTTGCTCTCAAATAAAACTTGGATATTCTTAGTGAAGTGGTGTGTTGTCTATAAAACATGGCTGGCTAAACTTGTCAAGTCACATAATGCCAGTTCTAGCTACTAAATGAGAAGGAGAGTCACCAACCGTTCTTTTGTGTTTAAGAAATGGATTTTTCTTTCTGTTTCCTGAAGTGATCAATTTTAGAGACAGTGTTTTCCTTTGGAACCTCACATTGAAATAGATGGTGTAATCTAATGAGAAAATATACTTCTGAGTTGAAAATCTGAAATTACAAATTTTTAGTATCTGTATAGAATCTGTATGGCCCTTACCTGTTCTCTAGTCCCGTGCTTTGTGTTTTGTCGTTGTTCGTGAGTAACGTACTTTCTGTATATTGTCCTCATTAATTCTTTCTAACTTTCTCTTTCGCACTTTCCCTGGATTCGCTGTTCTCTCCAGTCTCACCTCAAGGTGAGTATGCTTGTATTAAAACAAAGCGACTTCTTAAACAAAGCTATGTATTAAAGCAAAGCGTTGTCTGCTAATCTTGTCTTGATCTAATAAAAAGAAGAAATAGCTACTTAGATGAGAAGGGGAGTGAGTGGCTCACCTCCTCTTCCTTTCACTCTGTGTGTAACAAATGGGGTTCCTCCCTGTTCTGGGAAATGACCAATGTCACAGAACATGTTCCAGGAAAGAGATGTCTTGAAATCCAGTTATGAATGAGTGCTATGTATTTTCAGGAGTTAGTAGATTTACCAGAAGAACAGACTCAAAGCTGTGCTTCCTAGGACAGTGAGAGTACTCAGGGGAAGGAAAATTAGACTGACCAGGTTTTGATGGTGAGAGAAGGGGAGACGAGCCATCAGGAGAACAAGGAGGGGGCAAGTAGTGTGTGCAAAGAACCTTTAAGTTCTTCCACTGAGATGTACGGTTATATTCCACCAACAGCCCCCTCCACCCTTAATTTAAGGGCTTGTTTTGTGATTCTGCAGACCCGTAGCACTAGTGATAACAGAAACAATACCACTGCTGTATATCTGTGCCAGATGTACTGTGGTGGGAGTTTTACATATTTTATTTTTGTTCATCCTCTCAGCCTGATACTGTGTAGAAGGATTCATTATTTCTATTTTTTAGTTAAAACAAACAAACAAACAAACAGAAATATTGCACATTCAGTAACTTGCCTATTGTCATTAGTATGGTAAGTCAGAAACACTGATCAAAATGATCCCTAAAGCTGCACTTTCTTTTTAAGCTGCACTTAAAAAAATAAAATAACTACTTTTACATTGGAAGTATGACTGTGTAAATTAAAGGGTCAAAGAATTCCTGATGGAGTTCAGAAAATGAACTTGCTAATGACAACACATACATTTTTTTCTGGCAGCTCTGTTATACCTGTAATGATAATAATTTATAGTTGGTATTTATAAAGCACCCATCTCTCTGATTCTCACAGCCAGCATATGAATTATATAGAAGGAATGATTATTTTTATGAGGAACTAAGGCTCGAGGAAGAGATTTTTAAGGGGTGTTTAAATTGAGGAACCTGAACACTTTCTGGGGAAAAAATCTGTACCTGTGACTGATTTAAAAATACGGAATTTGTGTGGGCTCTATGTATGTTGAAATAAAGCATCCACCCTTCTCTCCTGACTGATCGCTAACCTAATTCATAAGGGGTGGTGTTCGTCTGCATTGTCAATGCCAGAGACTTCCTAGTTTTCTTTTGCTTAAATTTGTATGGAGCCTCCATTTTACATAAACTGTGTCACATAAGAAGCCTTACAGTGGGGAAAAAAAAAAAAGCAGTAGCCTTACAATGTTGGTAGTAAGAGTAGGAGTATGAATACTATCGTTTTGAAGTGATTTATTTCCCACCCAAAATGTTTTCTCTACATCTGTAAACAATTCCTCTTTAGTAGAAAAATACTGTAAGTTCGTTGCCGTGCGTGTGGAGAACTTTGATCTCTTGTTTCTAGCTGGTTGGTGTTTTGGTGGAAAATGCTACCACTTTGCCTTATGTTTTCTCCTTTGTTTGCCGGGTTCTGCTCTCAGTCTGTCTAAATGAGACCCTCTGAAGACCTCTGGAAATCAAGTGAAAGTCTTTGGGTACACATGATTCTTTGTGTTACAAGGTGTGCTCTAGTCATTCTTGCAGATTTGTTTTCAAAACAACGCTGTAGTCTAAGCTGTATTTTCTACCAACTTCATTAAAATCAGTGTTTATCTATATAGTTGAAGAGTAAAAGTTAAAGTTTATTTTGTTCAGACACATTCCCATTCTATAAGTCTCTTTAGTTTGATAAAAAGATTTCTTTATTGATTTCTAAAACGATCTTGGTCAAATGGCAATTTCTTTAATTGTACATTTCAAGCAATATTTGACTGACTTTTGACAATATTTGACTACACTATTGACTGACTTCAATACAAAAAGATACTTGTTACTAAACCCTCATAAGATTATCATTTAACAAAAAAAGAGATATAATTGTATTTTTAAAGTACATAGTTATTTTCTTTCTTTTTTTAGCCAAAATATTTAGAACTTTACAGAGCCTGGGTTCATAGTTCCCAAAGTGAGCTATATTGCCACCTGGGAGGGCACTGGAACAATCTGGGGGGCTGCAAAATCAAGGACCCAGACTTTATCCTGGAATACAGGCTTGCAATTTAGTAGTCCAACACAGTGCAAAAGCTTTTAATTGCCAGGCAGGTGCTGAGTAATTTGCTTTTCTTTTTTTCTGATAAAGGGGTCCTAGGGTTGGGAGCCTATACTCGAGAAAGTTCTTAACCCTATATATAGATCAAGGATGGGCCATTTGGATATTTACATAGCATCATTCAAGAATCATACAGGACAAATGTTTACCCTGTTATGTGGGTGGAACTGCTTCTCTGGTGAGGCATGAATGTTAGCTGCATTGATGGTGTCACAGGCCCGAGTACCTGATGTTTCCCACCTCTGTTTGCAGAGTTCTGCTCATGTGTAGGAGTGTGCATATGGCCTTGGAGAATGGTCTGTTGTTAGTAGCATTTTTTGTTCTGCTTTTCATTCTTTTGGCTTTCTTAAACAACTTGATTGTTCCAAAAATGCATTTCCTTTCAATTAATAATATTGCCTAGTGTTTGATGGATCTGTTTTAACAATAGCTCACACAAAGACACAGGACCCCTAACAATGTTGATGTACATACTGCCCATATGATTGTTATTATAACTACCTTATCAGTATTTAGGACATACCTGCACTAAAATTTTTTCTGGTTGAATGTGGCTAAGTCTAGCGCACGCATGCATGCAGACACGTGCACACACACACACTTTCTCCTTTATAGTTAAGTAAGAATTGCTCCTGTTTGACAGCTTGCAGTACGGGGAGGTCCTCCAGTAAGTACTGAAGGGAGTATTCAGTGTGTTGCTCTGTTGATTCATCCATTTCCAGCCCTGCTCAGGGAAAGTTCTGTAACATAACTAATATTGTATTTATTGGATAGATAATGTGCTTTCTTTGACACGGTACTATGGGCACTACTTTTCAAACTTTAATGTCATGGAAATCCAATGGGACTTGAAATTCAGTCTTTGAGTTTTGATGGGTTTGGGTTGGGGTTTTTGTTTCTGCATTTCTGAAAGCCCCCACATAGTAGCTGTGTGTTGTCAGCTTAGTCTGACTGGCAGAACTTTAGAACACGGGTAAAGAATCAACCTGTTCAGAGTTCATTGCTTTCTTCTCCTTTTTCTTTTGAATTCACACACATAGAATATTCTTAGCCCTGTTGATCTCACTAACGCTACTGCCTGTGTGAACTTACTACAGAAATCTCTTTCTCATCGATTTCTGGACACAGCGGCCACCCTTTGCCTCAGTTACAGCACTTTTAAGGTGGTTTTTTTAAAATCATTTTATTAGGGGCTCATACAACTCTTATCACAATCCATACATACATCAGTTTTGTAAAGCATATTTGTACATTCATTGCCCTCATCATTCTCAAAACATTTGCTCTCCACTTAAGCCCCTGGCATCAGCTCCCCATTTTATCTCCCTCCCTCCCCACTCCCCCTTCCCTCATGAGCCCTTGATAATTTATAAATTATTATTTTGTCATATCTTGCCCTGTCCGATGTCTCCCTTCACCTACTTTTAGGTTGTCCATCCCCCAGGGAGGAGGTCACATATAGTTCCTTGTAGTCGGTTCCCCCTTTCCAACCCACCCTTTCTACCCTCCCAGTAGCGCCACTCTCACCACTGGTCCTGAAGGGATCATCTGTCCTGTATTCCCCGTGTTTGCAGTTCCTGTATGTACCAGTGTACATCCTCTGGTTTAGCCAGATTTGTAAGGTAGAATTGGGATCATGATAGTGGGGGTGGGGGGAGGAAGCATTTAGAAACTAGAGGAAAGGTGTATGTTTCATTGTTGCTACACTGCACCCTGACTGGGTTGTTTCCTCCCACAACCCTTATGTACGGGGATGTTCAATTGCCTACAGATAGGCTTTGGTTCTCCACTCCACATCCCCCTTATTCACAATGATATGTTTTTTTGTTCTGATGATGCCTGATAGCTGATCCCTTCGACACCTCGTGATCACACAGGTTGGTGTGCTTCTTCCCTGTGGGCTTTATACTGGCACAGGGACAAGAGCAAGTCAAATTACCAGCGTATTTAGAGTAAGATACACTGTTTTCATTGGCACCTTTTACCTTGTCACTTAAATTTATAAAAAACATGTTGAGCAATATAAAAGATGACAAATTGAGGGTGGAGCAAGAGATTCACAGATATGAAAACAATGGACTACTTAGTTTCACTGCTTAAATATAGTATTTGGACACCTTCCTTTAAAACCTCCAGTTCGTGGTATCGTACCTGTGCCTTCATGCGCTCTGGATGAGATTGGGGGAAACAGATGAAGGCATCTGGCAGTTGGGAGATCCCTATCTCTAAGGAGAACAAACTGATACATACACATTGGTTGTGCGGTCTCCACTGGTGAGGTTGTATTTCACCTTAGCCTTCCAGCTTTTGTCTGGGATGTCAGACGTAAAGAGCATGAGCGCCGAAGATCCCAGAACTAGTATTCCTGTTTGCAAGCAGATTTCCTATTTAAGGTCCCAGTTGAATAGGATTCAGGAAGTTGACCTGACTTCTGTCATGGACAGGAAGAAATTTATTCATTACAATTTTTTACCTTTTATTTCCCCCCCATTAAACCAAACTCCCATCAAACTCACTGCCATAGACTTGATTCCAATTTCTAGCAGCTTTTGTAAGACAGGTAGCACCGTTGTTCAGGGTTTCTGAAGCTGCACATCTTCATAGATGAAGTTTCATCTCTCCCCTGAGGGTTCAAGTTTGCAGTAAGCAGCTGAATTCCTAACCACCAGGGCTTCTGGTGAGGTCTCACTGTCATGAGATTATTTTTTTGTTTCTGTTGTGCTTAGCACTTGTTGCT